TTAAGTGACCTTTTAAATGGGCCTTAAAGATGGTTGGATGCGAGAGGCCACAGCAGCACAAAGGCCATCTGCCTGCCAAACAAAGGTGGAAATTGGAGCTGGGGTCCAGGCTATGTCTCTGCTCTCATTTCTTACACTGTTCCATGTTGGAATCGGAGCTCTTTTTTTTTTATTTTAATTGTACCTTACTGAAAGGCAGAACTTGGACTTGAAACCAAACCTGCTGAATTTTCTGTCCCTTAGATGAGAGCTCCATGAACGGAGACCGGATAGACTGTGGGCGGAAGACACGTGTTGAGAGTGGTTACTTTTCCTTGGAGAAGACCAAGCAAGACTCGAAGCTGGAAGAACAGCAGCTGCCGCCCCCACCGAGCCCTCCCAGCCCCAGCACCCCAAACAACAGGTACAGTTATCCCAAATCGCCCTCACAGGAGCATGCCCAGCCCTTTCCTTCCCCAGGTACCCGATCAGGCGACCGAATGATTCACAGCTTCTCTCTGAACTCCTTGGACTCGAAGAACAGTTGCCCCATGCACAAGGACTCCAACAGCAGAGATATAGGAAGGGGAGCTGAAAAAGCGGGGCGTCCCCTTTCTTTTAAAGCCAGCCGGCAGTACACCACCCTGGCCGACGTTCCCAAGGCCATTAGGATCAGTAATCGTGAGGCCTTCCAGGTGGAGAGGAAACGGCTAGAGCGGAGAACCCGGGCGCGTAGCCCTGGGAGAGAAGAAGTGGCCCGTCTCTTTGGCAATGAGAGAAGGTAAGGGATGAGTGGCTAATCTCTTTCTTGCATGCTTGCGACTTCAGTTAGGTTTGGTCCACTCCTCCCTGCTGCAGCTCCGGATGGAGGAGGTGATGTTTGCAGGGCACGTGAGGTGTAGCCCTCGGCTCTCCTCCCTCGCCCCAAGCACATCACTGCCGATCACGTTTGGGATTGCAATGCAGCCGGAGGCGAGCGGCGTAGTTCTCCGTTGTTCTCTCGGGTGGCACCTCACTGTGCTGCAGCTCTCTGGGGATGCCCTGCTCCCCGCATGGGTGGGTTGGAAGGCATCGGTTGCCCAAAGTAGGACTGAGCCTGAGGCCAGTCCAGTTTGTTTGGCCCCACCCTTGCATTCCAGTATGCCTGGATTTAAGGGTAGCTGGGAGGCCTGTCCACACCAGCCGGGCAGTGACATGTCCTTAGTAACACTAGGAGGCAAGCGTTACCCTGCCTGAGACTGCTTTGAGGTCAGCCAGCTGAGATGCTTGGTGGGTCATGTTTGGCTGCTGTATTTGCAAGCAAGACCACCCTCTCCCTGCCCCTTCCTGCACACGGAGGCAGCTGGCACCATTAATTAGGTTAGTTCTCTAAATGGTGTTAGAGCTGGGGGTGTTACGCAACTGCCTAATGAGCTGAGGGAGGTTTCAAAGTGTCACGGCCTTAATCTGGGAGAGGAGAGCCGGGTGCACTGCCGAGGCAGAGCGCAGCAGGCTGCAAAACAGCTTAGCGTGGAGGAAGCCGGGGGGCAGGATGGCGGGGAGGGCATCTGCATGCGCGCGTGCACGAAACACAAGCATGCTTGGCTTTCCCCGGGCGAGGCAAAGGATGGGCTTGACTTGCCCTAGGAGGGATGCCTTTGTGCAATGAGGACAGTAGTGCAAACCAGGAGACAGGCCCCAGGCGAGTGGGCTATCTGCCAGTCTGATTTTCTTGCCCTGATTTTCCTCTGGGCATGTTCTCTCTAGCATGAGTTCAGCAAGCGCTTTAAGTTTGTTTTTTCACAGCCCCTAAAGGACTGTTTTCCAGCCTGGCTTTCTCGTGCTGAAAGCTCAGAGCTGTCCTGGGAAACACGGCGCAGCTTTGCGCCGGTGCTGTAGATTGCCAGGTGGATCCTTATGTCTGTCTAACCCGGCCCTGCCCTAGCGATGTGTAGACTAAGTGCCAGGCTGGCATTTTGTACGAGGGAGGGGTAAAGGAGCAGAAGACGGGATTGGCTTTCTCTTTGCCTTGGGAATTCGGTCCTCTCCGGGCCAGACGAGAAGGATGCCACACTGGTCTCCTGGCAACCCCGTCTGCAGACGCTGGCTGCAGAAAGGCTCATAAGTCATGATTTATGAGTTGAACTTGTAGCATATTGGCCCAAGCGCAGGTCAGATCATGCCATTGCTGGGGTTTGCTTGCACGGGCCGACCCTGCCAGCGCGTGTCCCCAGTGCTTGAGGATGGTGCCTTCTCTCAGTGCTGGAAACCCTTCGCTCTGGCCTGGCGTGATGTGTGCTGCGGGTACAGTGCAGCTTTGGGATCCAGCATGCTGGAGGCGAACGGTGATGTGCTGCCAGCTGGGCTGGCCTGGGCTGGCTGAGGAGAGCAAGAGGGGCAGAGAGGAGTGGAGAATTGCATGCAGGCAATGGGCCCGGGAGAAGAAGCTGCTGCCACATATGATCCTTTTAAATTTGAGTCCTGCTCATTTCCCACTGGTAGGTGTCTTTTCCTGGGGAAAAGTTTGTTTTTTCCTGCCCCTTTGCTAGCTGGGCTCCTGAGGCTATTTGACAGGTTTTTGTTGCTGTATTAGTACTGGCAAATATTCTCCTATGCCAGCTCAGAGCCTTTCTCTGAGCAGCATTTCTCGAGGAAGAGGAGCAGAGACGTGGCTTTGTTCTGCTCCCCGGTTCCCCTGGTTCAGCATGGGCACTGAACGTAGCAGGTTGATTCTCAGGTTGCTGGAAATATCTTTTCCTTTTTTTTTTTATGCTAAATGCCTCCTGCAGTGCCATCTCAGGCCCTGCTTTGGGGAATATCTGGCCAAGCCAGGCTCTGTTTTGACACCCAGAGAGCAGCACTCACCTTCCCCAGAGCCCATTGCCTGCTCAGGTCTGCCAGGGGCTGGGAAGGGGTTGTCAGACCCAGTGGGAAGGGGATTCGGCTGAGGCTGCAGCGCCCTTTTTCTCCCATGCGTAAAGGGGCGCTCACTTGTGCTGGCTGAACCCCAGAGCTGTTGTGTTTGGGATTTAACCCATTCCCGGCCAAGCGGCTCTGGAAGAGGAGTCGGGGCCTGGCGTTACACTGGGCACCGCAGGGTGAAGCGGCCCATGAATAGAGAGGAACCCACACGCCTCTGGTTTTGTGCTGGGGGAAACACGGGATACAATGCTGCCGGGGGGCTCCACCCCACTGATGAGGGAGGTAGAGAGAGTGACTGCAAATACTGTATTTTACCTGACAGCTTCCTTCTGCTGTGCTGGCAGGCGTTAGAGCTGGAGCTGAGCGTTTTCCAGAGAACCGTTAGGGTTTATGGGAATCGCTGCTGCTTTGGGGCTGAGAAAAGCAGCTGGAGCACGGTCTGTTTTTGCTGCCGGTGGGGCTGAGCCTAGTCCAGCACGGGGAAGTAGTGCTTCGAAGCAAGATCACGGCAGACAGCAGGGAAAGGAGGTCCCTGCTTGCACAAGGCTTTGTTTGGGCCTTGCCCAAGATTGCAGCCTGTGGCTCTGGGGGAACCAGCTCTCAGCAGGGACAGCTTGGGCTGCTCTATTTAGAGACTTGCTCGTTTGTTTTCTTCTCCAGCAACCTGCAAATTGGCCCATGCAGAGATGAGCCAGGTTGTGTGGGTGGATTATGTTTCCTGGAGCCAGGAGTCTTCTGATCTCGGCGCTCAGGTGGACTTGGCTGGCGATGGGGAAACAGTTTAGCATCATACCAGAGAATTAACATTCACCGACCCTCTGCTCAGCTTGGCTTGTCTGCTTTTTAAATTTAAGTTTACTTAGTCCACATATTCTTTCCATTTTTTTCTCCAAGTTCAGGCTGTGCTCTTTGAGGTTGAGCAAATATAACTTCCATGATGCGGGGTCAACTTCTCCCCCTGGGTTTAACACCGTTTCTAGTAATCCTTCTCGGTAACCTCCTAACAAGTCCAGGAACACTTGCCTGAAACCATTTGCGCACATGCAAACCCCACAGACACCAAGCAGAAATCGTTCAGGTTTACCTTTCATATATCAGTGCAACCAAACTAACTTGCTCTGACTCTGTTGGTGTTCAGTCAGTGTTTTTAGTCTTTCCTCGTGTTTTCTACTAACCTACCATCAGTCAGTGCATGACTGTCAGAGCTGCAGATAGAAAAGAATTGTATTAAATAGCCGGTGGTCCAACCTTGAGTAACATACCTGTAACCTTAACTGCAGAGAAAGCTGTTTTTCAGTCGTCTTGTCCTGTTTCCTTATGTTAAGAGATCCTCTATGACTCATGTGCAGAGCTGTGCTTGCAATGTTTGTTGAGACCATTTATACTCGACTTCTCCACACCACATCCAGACGTCCAAGTTCTCAGTCTCTTCTAAGACATGAATCAGAAGCAGTCGGAACCCAGAGCCGCTGTTTCTGAGGAGGAGATTGTCCTCCCGTGTTTTGGCGTGCCCGGCAGATCGGTGGTGTGCGAGTTCCCTCTGCTGGCATGCAGCAGGACGGGGCTGCACGCCGGCTCCGGGCACCGAGCAGGAGGGCCTGGGAGCGCTGCCCTCCTGCCGAGCGGGACCAGGAGGTCTGTGTCCCAGAAGGGTCGAGCTGTGCCTTGCCCGCTGTCGGGATGCATCTCGGTGAATCCAAGGCGGCTATTAAAGACTGCCCCACGGTAGCTGCTGCGGAGCAAGAAGGTGCTGGAGGGGACACGCGTGATTGCCCATGTTAACGGCTTACATGTTTGCCCTCCTCGCTGCCTGCATGTTGGACGGTGACCCGCTGGATGGGCAGCCTGCAGCTCTCCGTGGAAGATTCGGCTTGCTGGTTGCTGGATGGGAAGTTCTTATAAACTTAGGGCCCCAGCCTCTAAAAACGTGGCTTTTCCAATTGAATCCGTGCTCTGATTGCGCTGGCAAGAACCTGCTGTTGAATTTGACAGATCTGTTGTAGAAGCATAGTCAGGGGCTTATGAAATATTTCTAGCCTCAGAAGATCGCAGAGCTACCTGGGATTGCTTCAAGAGTTTTCTTTCTCAGATTCCTTCTCTGGGGTTTTGAGCCTGGGAGAGCCGTGTAGGGTTCCCCTCTGAATGCCACTTTTATGGGGTAGAGAGAGGGCTGACTGCTCTCCCATGAACAGTTTTTCTTTTAAAACTGTCCTCTTCACTTTTGTGTATCTTCTGGGGAAATTCCTCTTCCTTTTCCCAACATTTGCTGTCTTTCTTGCTGCTAAAGAATGAATGACTCCAGTAAGAATAAGCCCTTTCTTCCAATGAAAGAAAATTGCTTTAACGATAGCTCTTGTTGGTCTTCGTAGCTTTGCTTCCCCCTGCACACATCCCTTCGCCTAACAGCTGAAACCTGCAGCTTGGGTTTAGTGGCCTGGAACAGATTAACAGCCTGCACGGAGAGGAGCTCCTCGGGACCAGCTTTGTAGTCTAGAAAGCACTAAATGGCACCGCTGCTTTTAAAATGCTTCATACCTTCCTGTCTGGAGTGTTATTTTGTCAGCACGGCGCTGATGTTCGAAGGGGCTGGTTCTGCCCTCCGCGTTGTGGAGAGCTGCCTTGGCAAGCATGGGATGAAAGGAGAAGCCTCCCTCTCCCTGTTCCCCCCCCCGACATCGCTAGCAGTAACTTCTCTGAAATGTTTAGCTACTGAGGAAAACAATTCTTTCCTGTAATCCGAATGATATTAACCCTTGGGGCTGTGATTTGGTTGCAGTGATTTTTTCCCCCCCTTTTCAATGACGAATTACTGGAATGATTTTGATTTTATTTTGTATGTAGATGTAGATATATAATTTCCTCTTCTGTTCATTCATTTTCCAGCCTTGTTTTCTTCCAGGTCTTGTTGCTCTCCACCTTCTCCTGCTGTGTTGCTGTGTGACGTGTCCGCCTTTACTTCGCCTGCTTCGCTACCATCTCATCTCAATCTCAAGCCGTAGAACAACCTGGTGGTGCAGCCCCTTTCATGAGAAATCAACCTGCTTTTGATTTTGTTATATGTTTTTTTTTCCTGATTTGTTTTTCTTCAGGCCTTCACCTGATAGGGCACAGACAATGTTAATTCATGGACCTCTTATTCCCTCCTAAACTGAGACTCAGAGAAGGCTGGGCCAGCGTAAAAAGGGGATGGCTGGGTTAAAAAAATGGGACTCCAAACCATTCTGTCGGTAAACAGAGGACTTGGATGTACTCTCTGCAAGCTGGTTTTCGTGAACAGAGACATCTCATGTGAACAGAATATCCCAGTGGGGTTTGGAGCCCTGCGGGAGCGCAGGGCTCTATCTGCTCGTAGTCTGCAAACTGGGAAACAGCGGAAGCTAAATGAATCTCCTATAAAAACATCAGATCAATTTAAAGTTAAAAGTCAAACTCTTCCCCACCAATTCTGTCCTTTCCTCCTCAGCAGCTGGGTTGAGTGTGGGGCTCTGCCACCTACCTCTGAGCAGCAGGGTTCGGGCCCCCAGCCCGGCCGGGGCATGTCATGTGTTCAGGCTGTTCATCTTATTTATGGAATTTGGTGCAAATGTTAGTTTAAAACTAAACACATCATGTTTTTGAGTCCTAACCTGCTGTTCGTTTTTGTGGGAAGTGTTAAAAAATGCTTTTGGATAACCTGTTTCCCCTCATGTGGCTGCTGTTGTGATTTTCATGCACACTAGAGGTTCATGTAAGGCAAGCAGCTCTAATTTTAGATGCGGCACGTATGGGTCCAAATGTTGTGTCCAGAACCCATCTGGATTGAACTTCTTAGGGACATTTGAAATTGGGATTTAAACTTCATAACTTGAAGCTCAACTGGTGTCTGTGCTGGTGGAGGGGTGTTATTTCATGTTCCCGGGTTGCGATTAAAGACCAGAGGTTGATGCTTGTCCAGCCCCCCTGGGCATACAAACCTTGACACCACCAGGTGCTTTGAAAATGCCAGTATTTCCTCCCCTGTGGGTCAGCGAATGGCTCTTCATGATGAAATGGCACTTTTTATTCCTCCTCCAAGGGCCTGTCGTTTGCTAATTCCCTTTTGGGTTTGGTCTGGGGTTGGCTCCTGCTCCATCCACATTTTCTTCATAGTCCCCTCTGTCCATAGAGACAGCGGTGGCAGTGTGGTGGGTGGCCGAGGCTATGTCTGAGGGCCACGCTGCCATTAAGGGTCAGTCGTGCTCACTGCTGTTGAAGGGGACGCTCTGCTGGGCCTGCCAGGTTGCTCCCAACGGCTGGACACACTCACGTGTGCTCCTACCTCGATGCGGTCCGACCAAAGTTATCAGTGTGGGGTTGAGTTTTTGTAGGATGGGGGCTGCGAGGTGAGCCAGAGCCACCCATTATCTCTGCACCCCAGTTTGTTCTGTTGTTTCTGTTCTGTGCCATGGGGCAGCTATCAGTGAGCTGCAGCCTTAGAGAGCAAAGCTTAAGGCAAAGCTGTTTAAAAATCCCTGGTTCTGAAATGACCATAAAATTGACCAATAAAATGGTATCACTGGTTTTGCAAGGGCTTCCTAGATAGTTAAGAAGATAGTGTGTATGGAGCTGAGTAGTCTGGGTTTTTTCCCCTTTTTGGCCCCAGGTAAAATGCTGCATGTCAAATTGGGGTGTTTTGCCCCAAATTTGTGCGCCCTTGGGCTTGCAAGGAAACTGGGAGCAAAAGCCAGGCGTGCACGGGTGCTCAGTTGAGCAGTGCTGCAGAGATCTCACTGCCCCGACCTCAGACAGCCTGAACGTTGTGGGATTGTGCAGTTCAGTGCGGTTGCTGTTCTTGAGTTTAAACCGGCTCTGGTTTCCCCTTTCTCTGTGTTTTCCAGGCGATCCCAAGTAATTGAAAAATTTGAGGCATTAGATATTGAGAATGCAGAGCACATGGAAACGAGTGTGTCAGCAGGCTCTGCCCTTTCGAGTGAGACACGGCAGGGCAGGAGCGAGAAGAGGGTTTTCCCTAGGAAACGGGTAAGCTTCGCAGCTGCTTTCAGGTCCCGCGGCGGGTTGTTGGAGGATGCGGTGTGAGCGGGCACCCGGGATCTAGCCCGGCCATCCGCCAGCCCAGGTTGCAGGGTTTGACTCTCATTGTCCCTGGGTGGAGCACGGTGCCAGGAGTTGCAGGCAGGCGCGTGCACCAGCTGGACTGCTGTCTGTGCTCAGCCTGCGCAGGTTTGCTGCTTGCGGCTCAGTTTTCTTGACCCAGCTATCTGTCAGAGAGGAAAACGTCTTTTTTCCCTTCCTCCAGCATAGAAAGAGAGAAACTTCAGATTTGGCATGGCAGGAAACATTAATATGGCATAAAGTAACAGAAGAAACAGGGATCTTGAGAGTCCCGGTTGTTCTTGGATGTATTGGGAACCAGTTAAATCTTGAGAGGCCCTGAAAATTTTATTTTAAATGAAATCACACTTGTTCTGAGCCTAAGAGATGCCCCTTAAATATGTGGATTTTTATGCTGTGAGTCAAGAGAATGGGACTCGCCGTCCTAGTTACTGAACTGATCTGGGCTAATGCTTTCTATACAGGACTTCACTTCCGAAGCTGCAGCTGTGGGCTCCATCCTGGATGCGTCTGCTTCTCCTCTGTCTCCACACCGTCGAGCAAAATCACTGGATAGAAGGTCCACAGAGTCCTCTATGACGGTGAGCCACCAAGGTTGTTTATTCCTCCAGGAATAAAAGGAGGGAGCACTCCTTTCTCTCACTCTGCCCTCCCCACGTGCTGACCGAGGCTGCAGCAGAGCATTTATAGAAGAACTGTAGATCAGTGCAGTTTCCTGGATCCTTTTCCCTCTCTGGACTGAGACCAAGTGCTGGTTCATAGCTGATGCATTTTTGGATAGCTGTTCACACTTGGCTTGTTAAGGAGAGCTAACACGTGGCCCAATTTTCTTATGAAGATTCCTTAATGTTTATGTAGTTGCAAGTTGGTGTCAGTGGAAGGAAGTCTCAGAGGAAGGTTTGAACCCTACATCCTGAGTTTTCTTCCGTTTGCATATTTCAAATGCTCACCAGACCTGGAGGCAAATAGTACAAAATAAACATGAATTACTCTCCTCGCGCTTGCTCCTCGCATTTTGTTCTATAGGAACAAAATAAATATGCTTGCTAATCTCTCAGAACGATTACCTAGCCATTGTAAATACAGGCAGCATTTTTAGTCGATGGAGTGCTTCTATTCAGGGACTTGTCGGAAAAATGCACTGGTTTAGTATTTCTCTAGTAGCCTTGAATGTAGATTTGTGCATCTACAAAAATGACTTTTAAATTCTTAGTGATACCAGGAAGAAGTGCATATTAAATGACAATGCTTGTCATCTAATGAAGGCAAAAAAATTGTGCAGTCAGTGGGAAATACACTTTTTCCTTGCATTAAATACTCCTTTATTGTGCCGATCCTGCTGTAAAAGTAAAAACATAAGAAAAAATTGAACACCTGCTGACTTGTGACTGTGATTGCAAGAGTCTCCACTGCCCACAGGGTTAGCTGGATCAGATCAGATCATTATCCTTCAGGATACAGGCTGAGGCAGAGTTCATCCTTTGTTAGGCTTTGTGGCTTACAGCAGAGCTGTGGTTTGAGTTACATGGATATCACTTAGATGAGTGCTTTTTCTGTTTTTGTTTTCTAACATCGACACCCTCCAGCAGCACTGGTCACAGACCTTTCAGTCTTTCAGCGTCTCTCACTCCCTTTCTGACTCTTTTCACAAAAGCCTGTGCTCTCTGTGCCCTCCTGAGTACTCAAAGTAAAGCAAATGGGTTTCTGAGAAAGAACACGACGTGTATGAGAAACCTGCTCAGTCTGGGCTCTTCTGTAGTGTCTTCCTGCAGCCCAGTTTGAAGCATGTGCTACCGGGTTAGCAGTAGCATTCCTCTCTGGCTGCTTTTAAACCTTTGGTTAAATTTTTAAGGAAAGCAAGCATAACATGCATGCGGCGAATCAGGGATTTTATAGAACATTCTTACCCTATGCTTTTTCTCAGTTAATAAATAGCAAGCCCTTGAGCAACTGTAATACTTCCACTCCTTCTGTCTTCCTTCTCTGCAGAATGTATGGTTGGGAGCCAGTTATTTTTGGATCCAAAATGTAGATTGTTTACTTGAAGCAAGAGAGGCTTTCCAGCTCTCTGCAGATAGGATTGCCTGAGAAGCTCCCCCTTAGAGGAAAGGATTTAAACAGGACCCAGATTCCTGGGAGCATGATCCCACCTGCACCTCGGCAGAGGAGAAGCAGAAAGATTGTGGTATCGCTCTCTCAGGGTAAATTAAGGTCTGAAATGAAGATATGCAGCGCTCATAGCCTACTTCAGAGATGGGCGTGGGCATTGCAAATGCAGTTTTCTCTACAGTTTGAACATCACTTATCACTGCCTCTTCAGCAGGTACCTGTTGGGCTCGGTGGTTTTATTGCATGCAGGCACATCAGGGCCAGTGCTGGCCAGTGCTGCTCAGTCTGGAATCTGCTTGCTCTCTCCCGATTCTCTAGTGATCTGGGAAGAGCAGGCTGATATTTTCCGTGGGGTTTTTGTGAAGCCGGGCTGATGTCCCACCAGCGTGGGAACGCTCAAATGTAGGACATGCTGGCCCATTGCATAGGTTTGATTGAGTTAGTTTCCAGTGCCCGATTTTCCATGGCTTCTTCGCTCTAGCCAGTAGATTTGTGCTGCTTCACTGCAAATGCAGTCTTCTCTCCTTTTCCTCCTCCACTCTCAGCTGCTCTCTTTGCTTCAAACCCAATGCTGTGAGGTTTCAAAGCCAGATGCTCGGGAGTATCAATTACACAGCAGCAGGCTGTGATGTCCTAAACCCAGCGGATGGCTGCAGCACATGTAGCAGCCAGAGGAGCTCGGCCTCAAGGGAGCCAACATCCTTCACTGTGCGCTAGCCAGGCTTGGGGGTGAAGGGGTGGCTGGCGTTATCCCCACACTGTGTGGATTGCTTTCCTCTTAGCTTCAACCTCCTGATGCACCCACTTTGGAGGGAGTCTCACCAGGTGTCATTGGGGTGGGGAGATGCTGCGATCCCCTGTATTTCAAGGCTGTGTATATAGGAACTCAGCCTAGTTTTGAATCCTACAGCCTTGCATGAAACAGCACATACTTTTTGCTTCGTAATAAATAACAGCGCTACTAAAGTCTCCGCGGTCTTGCTAATTCCTTGCTTCTCCTTTCTCTATAATGCTGGTGTAACGGTAGGAAATGACGAAGAAAATGCTGAATAAAGCCTGAATAACAACCTGAATAAACTCTACATCAGGGTCTCTTTACCTCCTGGGAGACAAAATTTAACCTCCGTGCAGTATAATGATCCCATTTAACTGGTGCTGGTTTCTTTTGTGGCTGCACTGTATTTTATCAAATTGCTGCTGTTGCCTGTTTCCTGGGTGGAATTGGATCCCAGCACTTCATCCGAGCAATGATTGTCTCTCTCTCACCTCTTCTTGCAGCCTGACCTGCCGAACTTCAAGAAGGGCTGGTTGACAAAGCAGTATGAGGATGGGCAGGTGAGTATGGGAAGAAGCTCTCCTCTCGGGGTCAGTCCTGAATGCTGTGGCCAGTCCTGGCTTCTAGCAGCTCCTACCTCACCTGTAACATCCAGGCGAGTTGAGAAGAGTCTGGTGCCTTGGCAAACTCTGCCTGCATACATAGATTTCTGCATCGTGGCTGTGCAAATCGTCGTGGAGAATAGCTCGTTTGTGGCATGGAAAACTGAAAAGGATTATTTCATCCGTCTGGTTCTTGGGGCGATGCTCAGTCAAAACTGGTATCAGTCCTTCTCTTGGATCAACGGAGAGCCTGTGTTTCCAGGGTTTTCAGCATTGCTGCAGGCCTTCAGCGGTGGCAGCTGCATAGGGACAAAGAGCCCGAGTGCCATATCTTAATTAATGGCAAAGGCACAATGAAGGCAGTGTTTCGAACCTCTTCTTAATGTCGCATGTGCAGGCTCTGCACGCGGCTGCTCTCTGCATTAATGAAGCCATGCTGTCTTTGCAGGGTAGATCAATATTGGGCCAGTGCTACATCTGGGAGAAACCAGATGTAGGCGCTTGGACAGAACAGCTAGAGGGAATCTGTACAAAACTGAAGCCAGACAACAATGGTTGTGTGTGAGCCCTGTGCAAACAGTGTTTGTGTTGGACCGGGAATAGCTGGTGCTCTGTCCTGTGGCAGTTTCAAGGCTCCGCATCTGGATATCCTATAATGGGTTTCTAGGGAGTCAGGACAGCCTGGATAGCAGCACTGTTTTCGTGTTCCCATTCTCTATTAGTCTCATCTCCCTTGCGACCCAGCAACCTCTTTGGCATCAGTAACGAGCCTCAGATGAGGCTGCCTAAGCGCTGGGGAAACAACAAAACCAAGAAATAAAAAATGTCACTGTCATGGCACTAACGGAAGCATCATTGGCCACTTTGCTCATGTCCCTTCCCAGAGGGGAAAGTGCTCCCGTTTCAGAGCCTGGAGCCTGGCACCGACGCTGACCCCGGCGCGAGCGCACACGGCTGACTGCATGCGGTCCCTTCCCTGCAAAAGTTTTCTTTGCCTCCCGCTCAGCCCATCTGCAGGGGAAGCAAGAGGGTGCCCAGCACGTGGCTGGCATGGGAGCTCTGGGAGCCCCGTGGCCTGGGCTCAAGGTACTCGCTGGTCCTTTGGCTTCTGCGAGCCGAGGGGCACGTCTGTAGGCAGCCAGAGGGTAAAATAGCTGCTGGGATGAGGGGCTGTATTGATGTATTGCTCCCTTGGATATGCCTGTGCCGCACTGGGAGCATGCAGAAGGCATATTTGTAGAGAACAAGTGCCAGAGACGGGCTCCAACTCAATTTCTAGGTACTGCAGATAAAATATGAACATTTTATTGCTTTTTTCTAAAAAACAAAAAAATGCCGAAGGCTTAAAGTGCAGCCACTAAAAGCATCATTCTGCCAGTGGAGCTAATGGGAAGGGCTCCGAAGACACCCATGGCTCTCACAGTCTGCGTTACCATCACATGCACGGGGTTAATGCCCACTGGGCATCCTGTGCTCCCTCAGCTTGTTCTGTTTAGCAGCCGTCAGTGCTCGAGCAAAGCTGGAGTCCCGGCAGTGGAAACCACATCTTCGTCTCACCACAGGGTCCCTTGCGTTACGGCTCGTTCTGCTCTTCCCTTTCCCCTGGGAAAGCGGGAGGCCTCTCGATGAAAACTGTCCGCCTCAGAGCACAGGGCGAGAGGGGAGAGGAGAGCCTGAAAGCTGCTCCCTGGCGCGGGGACTGCCTGCTTGCCTCTGCTCGGGCACTCTGCGACGAGCTGTCTCAGCTCTCCGGCAGCAGAGGGGCAGGTTGGTAACAGCCCTGTGTTGATTGTTTCCTAGTGGAAGAAACACTGGTTTGTGCTGACGGATCAGAGCCTGAGATACTACAGGGATTCGGTAGCGGAGGAGGTAGGTGTCTCCTTTTCGGAACTAAGCCCTGCCCGTTCTGGGTTTGGATAAGGCCCAAATCTCTCCAGCCAGCTTCCAGAGCCTTGCGTGTGCCAGCCATGCGGGTGGGCCGTGTTGAGTCCTGGTGGGCTTGCGGGGGTACCTGCAAAAAAGGGAATGATGAGAAATCAGGAAAGGGCACGGTGAGGTGAACTGAGGGCTCCTGCTCCCAGGCGTAGGGGATTAAGCAAATATCAAGGCTGGAGGCAGGCCAGGGTGAGGCCCACACAGGGCTTGGGTCAGTTATCTTCCCAGATGCCAAGGGCCGTTGCCAGGCCTGGAGCATCGCTCTTCAGGGCTCTGGATATCTTGGGGATCTGCTCTGTGTCTCCCTGCGAGTGCCAGCGATGCTGAGGGCTTTTGGTGTCTCACCAAACCCTACGCAGCACCTTTCCTGCAAGTCTGTACCGTGCTTTTGATTTGCAAAATGTTAGGAGTTACAATAATTACTTTCTCCTTCCTCCTGCAGGCAGCTGACCTGGATGGAGAAATCGATTTATCTACATGCTACGATGTTACTGAGTACCCAGTTCAGCGAAACTACGGCTTCCAGATCCACGTAAGAAAACCGTGGGGAGGAGGGACAGTCCAGCTGCAGGGAGGGTGGAAGTGGCTGCTGTGCCCGCAGTGGTCTGCCTCTGGCAGCCTTTGGAGCTGAGTGAATCAGACTGCTCTCGTTGTGCAGCTGGCTGGGAATGCTAGTCCAGGGGAAGGGAAATATCTTCCCAGCCACCTAGAAGAGGCCAGCCCGCATCCTGAAGCATGTGTTTGAGAGTTGTCGCTTTGTGCTCCAGGGGGCTGTTTTTGGTTTACAGAAATGGAGGGCGAAAGGGCTGGTTTTTGTCTCAGCTGCTCATTGAAGTCTCAGGGACTCAGATGTTCAGCTCCAGCAAAATCAGTTTGGTTACTGAGAAACCCTAATTCCCACCGTGAGCTGCTGGAGGGAGCGAGGCTGTGGCAGGATTCAGTCTCCAGGCACCGGCGAGCAGAGCTGCCTCCCCCCTCCAGTGGGACTGGGCGAGGGGTGCGGGTCGGCCCTGTGTGGTGTCCGGCAGGACAGGAAGGTGCTGGTCAGTGCAGCT